AGTACGGAACCCGAGCAGCTAGGTCCATTTCGGTCCATTCTGGCCCACTTTAGCCATTTGGGCCCATTCCGGCCCATGCGGCCCATTAGGGTGGATATTTTCCCATCCCCTTTCCCTATAAATAAGGAAGCTTAGCCTCCATTGTAGGGATCCTCTTTTAGCTCCATCTTCCTTTCTTCTTTTAGATTAGATAGAACTCCATTAATGGGAACTTCAATACTTGTACTATGTAATGGTGAGGAGAGTCTAATGAGAATGAGAGGGCTTGGACATTAGCCTAAAAAGTCCCGTGGTTTTCTCCCTTTCGGGTTTCCACGTAAAAACTGAGTGTTCATACATATATTCACTATATCGTGTTGGATTAAACTCAACACTTAGTGTCCAATTATTATGATGTGATTATAAAAGGCTTGTATTTGCAACCATAATTAGGATGTTTATATTCCGTACTACAGTAATTAATATTTGACAGGTTTTAGATTAACAAAAACAAGTGCTATGTATTTCAATAAAGAAAATAGAGGTTATTAACTTCAAGTGCCGTATTTTTTTAGGTTGTATAGCATTTTTTCCATTGTTTATTCCCCTCTCCTTTTCTGTTTTTCTTTTTATGCTTGTTCTCCTTTATTTTCTTTTTTGGTTTTTTTGTTTGTTCTCTTTTCTTTTTTGTCTTTTTCTTAAGCAACCTTTTACTTTTTATATTCAATTATTATGAAAATGTATAACATAAAATATTATACAAAAAATTATTAAATGTTCCAGTTTATTTTTTCTTTTCCAATTAAACTTCTAACTTAAGTTTTTTAAATTTATGTATTATAAAATATTTTAGGAGTTAATGTTTTATTTTTCTATTTTTTATTTAAGATGAATATTTATTAGTTTATTAAATATTAGTATGTGTTAATTACTAATATGAGTTTTGTGATATACTAAAATGTGTAGTGTAAAATAAATATGAATGTGTAAACACTATAAAACGAAACTGATTATATTTGTAATTCGAGAATGAAATATTATTAATTATTTTTAATATAAAATTACTGTATTTTTCGTTGCTATATTTATCACTATATGTGAACAAATGAACATTTGAACACATTAGAGAATTCAAACGAGTTTTTAAATTTTTCAATGCTCATTTTGTAAATTACGTATGTTTATCTGGTACTGGTTTTATGCTCATTTTACAAAGGTAATATATTAGATTCACATAAGAGTTGAATTATATACATGAGAGCAGAGATAATGATATTCAATTGCATGCTTCTAATACTCAATGAGAAATTTAATGTTCACTGAAAATGTTTTGATTTTCAACTAACAAAGTTTATAATTTTCATATCATTGCTCATTTGGTAAGTAATGTATACTCATTTTGTATTGATGTTATGCTCATTTTAAAATGTTATATCAATGCATATTTCAAAAGTATCATATTACATCAGATTCATGTAGAGGTTGACTATAGATACGAGAGCACACACCATGATACTCAATTGCATGTTTGTAATACTCAATAAAGGAGGTTTGATACTCAATGAAAATGTCTTGATGCTCAACTAAAAAAAACGTATGATTTTCCTTTGAATGCTCATTTTGTAAGTTGCGTATGTTCAATTGATATTCATTTTATGCTCATTTTTAAAATGTAATATCAAATTATCAATGCATATTTCAAAGGTATCATATTACATTAGATTCACATATTGAAGTCCATAAGAGTTGATTATAGATATACGTTAATAAGTTTTTATAAGAGAAAATAAAAAAGAAAATGAATTAAAAGATATGAAGTAGAGATCACGATGCTCATTGTTAGTCTTCTAATGCTCAACAGAATATGTTAGATGCCCACTAAAATGCATTAATGCTCATTTAGCAGGAGACGCGAATTTTGTTTAAGTTACCAAAATGTCACTGGTTCATTAATTGGAAAAAGGTCCGATTTTGTAAAGCCGAAGTGGCATATCTCGGCGCACTTTACTTAAAGCTATGTGCAATCCTTTTTCATCGGATATATGTGTACTATGGATGTTTTCTTTTGGACTGGAATTTGCTGGTCTGGTCTGATCTGGTATGGTAATCATCTCTCTGTGTATTTTATAACTACGGAAGTCTGGTTTGGTCTGCTCTGGTCTGCTCTGGTTTGGGACTGAAAATAATCCAAAAGAAAACATCCTATGTATTAGATTATGTACTTACTGCCACAGTGTCGCTACAGTGTCTCTATAGTTTGGTTTGGTCTGCTCTGGTCTGCTCTGAATGTTTCTGATCTGAATTTTTTAAGTTCTTATCTGATCTTAATTTTTGAAATGTGATATAGTTATCGTTGATTGGTTATGCATTATTTATTCCAAACACATTTTTACACAAATTATTTACTTATCAATTGTTTAGTCTTTATAAGAATTTTGTCGTGCAATGCATGAGTTAATTGAGTAATTGACAATTAGGCCAACTGTGAAGTTGTAGGTATTATTTTGATTCATTTTCACTATTTCACCAAATCATTAGAGCACACTGTTTAGTGGATGATGAATTCACCCTATTGATCCCAGACTCCTCAAATGTCTTTAATTAATTGGATGATAATTTTTTGAGATGATTTGATCTAACATGATTTGTTAAGTCAAGTCTGATCTTTATTGATCTAGTCTGATAGATGTGATAGAGGTATGTCTGATGTTGTTTCTCGATTTCAACAACTCACACTACGACCCTCAGGAAGAATGAATTCATAGATAATTTTCATTTAGAGCATCTACATTCATGATACTCAAGTTTACGGTTTTTATGGCTTCTTATTGCCATGTCACTTCCACATGAGATTATCTCAAATAATCTCCAAACCTATCCATGATCTTAATTTACCAAGATTTTTTTATGAGGCATGCACAAACTACAAAACTAGTCATCACCTTAATTATGAGTATATGCCCAAAAAATGGAGAGAGGAGTCTAAAAGTTGGAAATAATCTCAAAATAATCCAGCTTTAGAATTTGATACCAGATTATTTTATCAAATAATCTCATAAAATAATCTCAACTCCTCATCCATGATCCCAAAAATAATCTATGGATGGATGCCCTTAAGACACAAATACACACCCTATCAAAGACCTTGCATGGAGATACCAAGAATTCTTTGACCCTTAAAGCTCAAATTCCTTGGCCAAGTAGCTCTTAAAACTCGGTACTTCAGCTTCATATATATGATATCAACAATATACAAAGAGGACATTCATGTTCTATGAACTCTTCTTAGCAAACAATGTAAAAAAATAAAAATCGTCTCTGAACTCTTCTTAGCAAACAATGATTGTTTATATATATTAACAATATACACGATTAAGAAGGCAATCATGTTCAATGAATTCTTCTTAGAGCATCTCCAGTCGGACAATGTTCACAATAAAAATAATGGCTACGTCATGCCACTTTGACATTGGGGTAGAAAAAATCTTTCCAATGCAGGATGTAAACTTTCATGTAATGCTGACATGTCAAAAAATAATGTTGACACTGTTTACATCACCGTCTTCATATAACAGTGCACTTCACATGCTGAGTCAACCAATTCGGTGTATCTGCCCATAAAAAAACATATCCGCCTAAAAATTATCCTTCCCAGTGTCCCACACTCCCACCTCATGATTGAAGCTTCGAATTGTTCAAGGCTGATGGGAAGGGGAACGACCGTCTCCCAGGGAAGAGGCGTACGTCGGAGAGCTGTTGCAAGGGTTGTCGGACAGTATTTCACGCCGGTGCTAGCTGCCGTTACCATCACCGGGAGGGGGAAACATGTAACTCCTTGTTAGTATCAACAAGGCATCTGCTCTGTCGCTGATTATCGTCTCTAGAAGAAAAGGGGGAAGAGAATGTTGTCTCCAACGAAGGAGATGAAACGCAACCTGCCGGAGGATCATTCGCCGGAATACAGTAGCATGTCCGTCAGGCAACACATTAGTTGAAGTGTAATGCTACGCCATGATTACTGTTGTCAGTTGTTTCCATCACGGAGACCACCACTACTTGGAGCATTATTGGTCTTTGCCGGAACGCCGTGGGGGACAGTTGGACTGCTTCCACGGAGGTATTTCTATTTTATTAATATATGGTTACACGTTGGTGGTTATATAGGGGTTTTTATTTGAATATTACTAATTTTGAACCAATTACCAAAAAAGTGACCACTTTTAAAAAGGGGCAAAAAAGTGATCAAGAAAGTCATATTAATGTTATTCTCAGATTTTAATGTCACTATCCTTTTTTAATGACACTATCAAATGTCACTGCCACCACTGCCCGTGTCACTGTCGTCACCATCCATGTCACAGCGACCACCGCCCGTGTCACTGCCGCCACCGCCCGTGTCACTGCCGCCGCCGCTCGTGTCACTGCGGCCACCATCCGTGTCACTGCGGTCACCACCCATATCACTATTGCCGCCATCACCATGTCACTTCGGTCACCACTGCTCGTGTCAGTGCCAAATGTTACTGCCGCCACCGCCCATGTCATTGCCCATTATTTACGTCACTGTCGATATTGCCGATGTGACATCTCCGCAGTGACATACAATTACTCCGGCCACCGTCCTCCGGTCAGCCACCACCACCTCCCGCTAGTGACCATCACTCCTAGCCGACAACCAAACTCTGCACTACCACCAATATCCCACCCCTACCACCACCGTCACTGTCCGCACTACCCAGCCCCGCACCACTGTGACTGCCAACTGCCCATTGGCCACCCCGCACCACCGCCACTGCCCACCAGCCACCCCAAACCACTGTTACCTCCACTGCCCACACCACAGTCACCGTCGTGGCGTTGCTGCACCACCCCAACCCCCTCCCCGACCTTCCCAGCCCCTACACCGCGACCCCAACCTTTCGGTTATATATATATCAAATACTCCGTATATGGGATGAACTCCGTATATGGGATGTTGACATCATGCATTGGAGGTAATATTTGGATTTCAATGTATACCTATATCACTTCACGTGGATGACAATTCCATTTATTAATTGACATGTGTCAAGATTTTTAGCATGTTAACGGTATAGCATTGGTGATGCTCTTAGCAAACAATGTATCATAATTTACATATAAAAAAACTATCTGAAGAATGGGCAGCTCACTCTCTGGCTGGTGCGTCAGTTTCTATGCCTAACTGACGTATTTGGAAACATTATCCTTCTGATTGTATTCTGGCCTCTTTAGCTCATCACTTAATTAATAATTAATAACAATAATCCCATTTTCAAAAAAATAACAATATTCCCCTAAATCAACTAGCATACCAGCTAGATTTGACACCTTAGTAGTCATCAGCTTCAGAGTAATCCTCATCACCAAATTGATCATAGATCTGGTACTCTCCATCTGTCTGGTCATCTTGCACTTCAGGCATTCCATCCGTACAAGGGAAATTGCCAAAAAGCTCTTGCAAGTATGTCCTAGATATGCTGTCATTGTCTGAATCTGTTATTAAGTACAGTTTATTGTAATTTTGGCAACACGTTTGTACATCTACCTCCCCCAAGGATTTTTTAAAATCACAAATAAACCCTTTGGCCCTTGTAACACTGAAAGGTTATAAAATAGAATGATACTCCGTATAACATGAATTACACATCTTAAGATTGAATTTGGTATTTCTAAATACTCTGTCCAGCTATGTTTGTCCTTTTTTCCTTTTTTGTTCGACCCACTAAATCCGTCTCATATTATATTTGGTACTAATATTTGCATGGTTCTAATTTATTCTTAATTTTCTTAAAAAACAGCCACATAACATGATTCTACTTTTCTTAAAAACCAGACCACCCCATATTGTCTCAATCTTAGGGGGGAGGTGGTAGTACATATTACGGAGTATCAGCTAAAATATTTGAAGCTTTCTCTTTTAAAAAATTGCCAGTATAAAATTGAGGGTAATTGTACATATTCTCTTTTAAAATATTTGGTCTTAGAAACTCAGCCCCTACTGTTATAGTTTTATCCCATCATCTTTCAGTATACTTTACCAAGAAAACTGACTGTTCAAGGGGCTATTTGTAATTTTCAAATATCTTCATGGGTCATTGGTTTGAAAATTCATTCTATACCATCAAAATTGCCTGCTGGATCATTGCAATTAAAAAACACATGACATCGTGTAAAGGATACATAAACCATGTTGTGAAGATATATTCCCTTCCGGTTCAACCTAAAAGGTCGAAGTAAAAGCAACATTAGAACTGAACGGATATGAATGACAAAAGTAATTCTAAACTATATTACCATGTCATGTACTTCAAATTCATGCTTGCTGTCTTCCTCAACCTCACCTTCATCACCATCAGCATCTTCATTGCCTTCATTATTTTCCATGTCTGACACATAAGAATGAAAGTTAGCATAACAACACTTTTGCTATAGTTCAAATTTGAATCCATGGAGAGATACAAAACCACGATGTTCACGTGTCTGTGAGGGAGAGCCAAATCACTAAGTAGTCAACATGATATTATTCTGCTTATAAGCAAAATAAGCAGAACATGCTGATCAATGCCACTGAATTGGGCCTTAATTTACGAAATAAGGTATCATAGGGAATGGTGGTTGATGGTACTACAAAAAGTACTTTTTCCACGCTTACTAAGTTTCAACCATTAGCTTCAAAAGCAAACAGTTAAGATCATTCTTGACGTGCAATTAATGATTATATTAAAAAAATTTACTTCAATTTTTAGCTAATAAAACAGTGCTCATCCATGGATGTACATATAAATCCATTTAAATAGAAATACATACATATATGCATTTATTAAAAAAAAAAATAGATTGAGTTCTGAAGAATGTAGAATAGTGAAGCACTATGGTAGAAGTTGGACCTTGATCAACATCTTCTTGTTCCTTTTCTTCATCACGTATCACATGACTTGGTGTTCTCTTTGATCTTTCAAAGCGGGCAGAAAGTTTTTTTAGCAATTGTTCCACACCAGGATTGGGGTAGACAGATACAAATCTGATAGAAACACGCAATCTGAGGCACTCAAGCACATTAGAGGGGAACCACCCAGTTTGACACTGTCAACCAAATAATTTTGACAGAAGCATTATGAGGAATGGTCACAACTCAATCATACAGAGCAGAAATATATTTGCATGGATTCAGATAAGTATAAACACGATAATGAACATCATCTAAGAACTTGCTCACAATCAGCAAAAAGTAGTTAAAGTACTCAAGCATAAAAATCTCATATTACTATACAAGTAAGTAATATAAGGAAGAGATTGTGTAGATTAGGAATAGAATCCAGTATACAATCAGGCATAAACAAGAAAAGCAAGTCTCTGATCAGCTGGATGTCAAGTATCGGAAAAACTATTATCGTATTCTAAGTCGTCAAAGCATAGCAGTTTTAGCAGATAAATTAATAACATGCCTTAAATTTACAATGTCCACTAACTAAACTCATCTCAAGGACACAACTACACAAGTAGAGCAAAAAGTGGAAAGAAGCATCTGCCAAGCGGTAACAACCAAGTCAAACACACACACACACACCTCCCTGAGCAAATCAGTATTGAAAATTTGAAATAATGATAGTGCTACATACACTGCATTCTGTTGTCTTATGTGGTTTTTTTATCTCTTCTTGGATGTAATCATCAACAAGATCGCAAAGCTGCAATGATATTTGGCACTTAGAAGGGAAAACTTGAAATGAGCATACATCTGTCCATCTGTGCTTCACTCTGTACAAAAAAAGAAAGTGTAACATAACACTCACAAACCTACTATTTTTCACAGTTCACAAATAGATAGACAAGTATTCCACATCATATCAGATCAAGGAAAGAAGGACATGAATATTTAATCAAAGCTCAACCTGAGGCCAGATATTACTATTCTGCCTGGTTAAGCAATCTAACTTAGATAATCATATAGAAGTCTAGAAAAAGGAAAAGATGGGTTCTAGAATGAAGTGAAAAAAACTTGCAGTGTTCAGTTTGGTAACAATGTGATTCCATTCTCCAGTTAGATGGAGTGATGGACCACATCCGTCCTCCGGATTATACAAACCCTATAAGTTATATACCATTTCAAAAGTTCTTTCGCGTTCAAGCATAAGACTGTCTAAGGAAGATAAAGTGCTTAAAATGCCTCAAAGATCAAGTTCCAAAAAATAGAAATGTAATAAGCAAAGTACCCGGATTCTGTTTGAGCCTCGCAGTAACTTCGCAACAATGGATCGTGTACTCGAAAATCAATACTTTGATATCTGTTCAAGCAGACTCCTAAGTAAGTTCACTAAATTGACCTTAAAAGCTGCAGCTGGATGTAGTGAGTAACTGAGGACAGTAACTAAACAAACTCGTAGTTTAATATTCATATTACGGTGAAAAGCAAAAGCCTGATAAGGTAGAAAATAAAACATTTATGCATGGAAACTAGTAAGAAATAACATTTCCCTTCCCAATTAAATAGTGTTGGATTTACAGCAACAAAAACTCAAAAACAAAAAGTTAAAATAATAAGTTATTTGTTTTAAGAGGGAACTGAACAGAAATAACTCCTAAAAGTTTATATTTATATCAAGAGATCCTTTTTTAGTAAAAACTCTATTAACAATTAGGGACATTACTTTATAGAATACTAAAAAGAGAGTGACAGCCGAAACACGCCTCCTATAAAAGTATAGTGTATAACAGCATATAGCTAGCTTGTTTAGAAACTATGTTTGCACCGCTTGAAAACAGCCATTGAACCACCTCAAGAAGAAACTAATTATGGAAAAAACAAATATTAGAACTTCAGCTAGGAAATAACTCACATGCGAGACTCAGGATCTGTGCGAGGGTCATATCCTTTTCTTATCCACAGTCTCCGAAATGGTCCTTGAGAAAAGTAATATGCTTCTCTGAAAAGAAGCCTGCAAGATCCACAAACTCAGAAATAGACTGTTCTGAAACTAACCATTTTCCTGAAATCTATTGAATGTATTATATACTCCCTCCGTACCACAAAATTGTTCCCACTTTGATTTGAATCGGAGTTTAAGAAAGTGGGAATAAAGTGGAAATGTATGGTTGTGGTTGAGTACGAAAAAGGTAAATGAATGGTAGCCACACAAAACTTTCCAAAAAGGGAAATGGGAACTATTTTTTGGGACAGCCCAAAAAGGAAAGTGGGAACTATTTTATGGGACAGAGGGAGTATTATTTTTAACTCTGATGTCACATGTCGATTCATGTTAGCTGACCCCAAACTCTTTTGGGATTAAGGCTTGGATGTTGTGGTTGTTCGTTGCTGCATATTGTATACATAAAATAATATAAAGAGACAGACCACCTTTTCAGCATGGATTCTCTAAGATTCATCCCTTTTTGAAGTAAGCGTTCAGCCAATGCCTCTTTTGCCCAAACTGGACGCTCGTCAAAAAACTTGGATACGGCTGTCTGCAACTCCCATTCATCTGTTCCTTTCGAAATGTATTTCTCCCAGTTTACTTTCTTAGGAATATGTAGGAATGTTAAGCAAAACTATAAAGAAAAAAAGAAACTACAAAAGCAATGTAAAGTAGCTCTTTGAGAGTATCATTTGATCAAATTTGGGCGAACTGATAATCTTAATGCACACAGAATAAGGTGAAGAGTATTTTAAATTGAAAAAAACAGATACAAAATGAATAACCAAAATTTCACCACAGCAATTAGGAATAGGATATCTTTGTTGTTAAAGTCAATGGCAAGACATGGCTCTATTTCCATCTACACCAAAGAAAGTAAAAAATGAATTAGCTTAACATCATGTACTAGGTGCAGAAAAAGATATCTGCCTTGTGCAACCATCTACCAACAGCTGGATATATGGTTAGAATAAGGATTCAATCAAAAACCATGAGAACTTATGGAGTATATTTTAATAACATATGAAATGTATATTGCTATTGAAGATAAGATGTGATAGTCTTGATTGCTATGGTTTGGATATGTGTGTAAAACACCGAGTGATGCACCTGTTAGACAAACGAGTTGAGAGGTTGAAAGAAGAGACGGGGAGGAGAGGGAGAGGAAGAGCCAAACATGTGTGGATTAGAGAGATCGTGAATGATATGGTACTGCTTGGGTTGGATGAGAGTATCACTTTGGAGAGAGCAAAGTGGAGGGAGAATATACATGTGGAGGATTGATCTCATTTTATCCTTTTATCTTTCTTAAAGTACGAATCTTTGTTACCCTCATCTTCTTTATAATACCTTTCATTCTTTCTTCATCGCCTAACATCTAAAAGAATTAAATGTGGAAAGAATATACTTTAATAACTATGACTAGCTAAAATATACTTCTAGAATACCAAATATATCAATACAAATCTTAAATATATAACAACATTCTAAAATTAGGGGCCTGCATGCATAAGCGAAAAGTACTTTGTGGGTGTGATTATTACATGCAAAACAATGATTCTTTCTCGCCTTAGGGAGGGAACATGCCCCGGGACTTAGTGTGGATCAGTCAGTGGGTCTCAACCAACACACATAACAGTACACTTTCACCAAGGATTAAGCAAAAAAAAAATACAGCACATCATCTGGCCCAACAATTTACTCATGAAGGGAAACCTTAGAGAATTAATTCCTTATTGCAAACCACCAACATACCTCCCAAGATTGTTGGACAACCCCTTCTTGCTTCTTTTTTGAGCTCAAAGTTCCACATGGTTTCAACCTGAAGGTAAACCGATAATTATTCCCGTGTTGAAAGCAAATGCCAGTATGTCACACAAGTCAGAAAATAATGTTTTTTCAGTAATTAGCGAATGCAAAACTTTCAAGGTGCAAAAAACCCTAGAAAGCATAAAAAGCTATAGTGCATCTTACATAATATTATCAGGCATATCCTTCATGGAGAAAAGCTGTGGTACTAAAATCATCAGATCCTCTTGATCAGCATCTATAAGATTGCTCTTCTCTGAAAATCAGAAACTCAACCATGAGGTTATACAAAAAAAAGCCTTTTGGCATGATAAATTTTTGAAGACTTTTTTAATTAACTTAGAAAAACTAACCAAAATTCATTTCCAATTCAGCCCAATTTCTTTTCTTTCTTCTAGCAACATCAGCGTGGACAGCAATAACATGTTGATAGTCTGCCATTCCTTAAGAACCAGAACAAATATATGTGCATTCAAAGCAGAACAAAGGGACAAACAACATTTTGGTCAATGTTTTTAAATAGCACATATAAATTCTGAATTACACCGTAGAATGATAAGCACAAAAATATTCTATTAAAGCTTTCAGCCATAACATAAGAACATAATTTCTAACCATCAAAATGATATGCATCAGCCACTAGAGCAACAACATCAGCAGAAAGTTGTTCTTTCAAAGCTTCCTCTTTCCTCTCGCTAACATCTTTACAAGCATCAGCTGATACAGTTTCAGTTTGATTGGCGTGTTTGGAAGCTTCAGAAGATTCAGGATGTGACTTATTTTGGTCAATACTAGTCATATCCAATGAAGAAGTTTTTGATAATCTATAGTTGGTCTCTGTATTTTTAACAGCCAAGATTTTCTCTTTTGTTATTTTTAACAGAAAATTAAGTGAGGATTTATGCTTCCCAATAGTTGGATGTGAATAAGGGTCTTCAGGGCGGAAACGGAGCTCCAATGTGTTTGTCTTTGAAGTGCGAGCCTACAGTTGAATACACACTCATCAATATTTCATTTAATTAAAGACCCAATCATTGGGGCTGATTTGCAGTGATTGTGGACATGCATTTATCTATTATTCCGTCACAAAACTAACATATAGTACGGGGTAAAAAAGCAATGTATAAAACAAGCAAAAAATCTCCTCAACAAAAAAAAATACAGGGGTATGTTCAGAGAAACAGGGAGTTATAACATTCAGTCTCAGTGACAAAAGACTCCTACTTTCCTATGCTACAGTTATCAGTTTAGATGTCACTTCATATGGACTTAGGTGGCAGACTAGTACTCACATGCTTGTGCAAAGATGAATTAATGGAGTTTCAGAATAAAAGTCTTGGCAAGATTCACAAACTAATCCATCTAATCTAAGGGGTTGGAGGACAAGAGAAGGCTTTGAACATCTAACGTGAATTCTACCTAATACATGGTTACTGCGTGGAATTTTTACTTAAAAAATTATAAGCATGGTGAGTTTCTACTCATTCCATGAATAAGCTGTAAAAAGAGGTTGTCGCCCCCTTAGAGGATATAAAAGCAACTGTGCAAATGAATTTGAATTGGACAATTACCGGCATCCTATAATCCACTTCATAAAACCCTAACAGAAAATGTCTCAATGAAATAACAACAAAATCAAAGATCGAAACTTTGAACTAAACCATTAATGAGAGGGAAGAATTCAACTCCCATTTATTTAAGCATACAAACCATAGAAGGATGTCTAGGGAACAAAAGTTGCATGCATAATTGCATATAAATACATTTGCTACTGGTATAAATAAACATCTACTTCCTTTCCAACTCTGGGTGAAAAAAGTAAATAAGTAGACATTAATTGAAACTTTAATCGCGTATCAGTTGCAAACCTTGGCAATGGCTTCAGTGCCACCGAGAGTCTCGACAGCTCGTTGGAGGGACGAAGGATAAGCAGGATAGTGGACAATGAAGGTATTGTCGTTGCTGGGTAAATTTCCAGATATAGACCCATCTATTATGATACCCATGTGAGCCGCTGCTATTTTACTCAACGGCGTCAACTACTTGAGCTCCAATTCTCACTATGGATAGGAAAACAGCGATTCAGCGAAGGGGTGGGCTGAGAAAGGTAGACCGAGAAATAAAATTTGAAGATACATACATATAATAAAATGTCAATACTCTAAATATTCATCAAAGCATCATTTAAATTGTTCCCACCACAAATTCAAAGTATAAAACTCATCAATAATAGAACCTACATCTGTAGTATTGACAAAATCTCGTTCAAAGTAAATCATTAACGAATTTTCAAGAAAATCATCTCCCGTTTTGTTATGTTACTAAATGCTGTCTTCACATGTTTCATTGCTGAAAACGTTCTTTCTGTAGTAGCAGTGGAAAGTAGAAACAAGTAGGGTCAAAATAAGACTAAAAGAGTAAAAGAGTAATTTTAGATTTATACCTGACTCCTGGAGGCAGCCGCAGGTTGGACTGAGAAAGCTAGAGGCGAGACTGGAGTACTGGAGGGCAGAGGCGCAGAGGTCAGGGCCAGACTCCGGAGGCTGGTGACCTACTGACCTGGTCGCCGGAGAGTGGAGACCTGGAGGGCCGGAGTGGGCTGTGGCGCTCTGCCGGCCAGGAGGCAGCAACGCAGATCGCCCCTTGCCAACACCACTGGACGGCGGACGCAGATCGAACGGCGGCACTGTCCGACTAGAATCTGGAGGCTTCCCTGATCCCTCGCACTCCCGCAGGTGGAACGCAGGCTAATGGGGTGAGCTGGACTTTAATTTTAAATAAACATATACTTATAATGATCCGCCCCTGGTTGTGCTGTCTCTCAGGATATGGCGGCGGTATCATCTTCTTCCCGCCGGATACTGTTCAAAAAGCATGTCGTACTGTTGCTTTTGTCCTGAATTATGTAGCCTAGTTGTATTGCGTCGCCGGTTTCGTTATCCTCGGGTTTTGTTACTATAGTTTTCGGATTGTGACGTGCAGAGTCCGAATTGAATTGGTTAAACGAATTTAAGGAATAAACAAGGTTTACCTATAAGAGTGAAGAAATACGTAGTATTAAAAAGTACTCCGTTCGTAGTAATATATCGATGGTAATTACGTACTAGTATGTGTTAAAAGAAATTACATGTAGATACAATATATAGAAATTGTCCTCGAAATAGGAGTAAAAATATTTAGAAATTCCAAAATAGGATATTCGTGTTTTTATTCCCTAAATAAGAGAAATTTCTGCAAAGTTGGAAAAAAAATTGGCAAAAACTGTCATATTTTAAAGTCTGGTAATACCAAACTTGGCAGAAATTACTCTTATTGAGGGAATAAAAAACATGACAGTTTTATTTTGGAATTTCAAAACATTTTTATTCCTATTTAGGAAATTTTCTCTAGAATATACGTTAAAATTTTATTTGTATTGAGTTGATAAAAAGTACAGAGATGATTCAATTAAAGGTTAAGCCAAGAACTATTTTAATTAAGGGAAAGTTCCCGAAATAGGACTAAAACAGTTTGAAAATTCCAAAATAGGACTGTGATGTTTTTATTCCCAAAATATGAGTAATTACTGTCAAGTTTGGAAAATATTGTCATGTTTGAAGTCTGATACTACCAAAACATGGCAATAATTAGTCCTATTTTGAGAATAAAAACATTGAAGTCTTATCATGGAATTTTCAAAGTATGTCGACAGAGTTTCTTATGATTTTTTAAAAGTTGTTTTGATAAAATTTTGGGTTCTCTTTGAAAGTTACTGATCTTATTATGAATAACCTCAAAAATACTCATCTTTCTATTCTCATTAATGGTCAAGTTTCTGGATTCTTTCGGCCAACCAGAGGAGTGAAACAGGGGTCCACTATCTCCTTTCCTTTTTATCCTAATTTCTGAATGTTTCTCCATAGGTCTAAACACCTTAATGCACCGGAAAAAAATCTCACCCTATTATGTTGTTAGAGGAACTCCTACTATTGGCTAAATAAAAAAGGGACACAGGGAGAACATGATAAAAAAGAAAATCATTAGACATTACGACTAAGGGTCTGTTTGCAACAGCTTCTGCTTTTAAAAAAGTGCTTTTTTAAATGAAATGGGGAGAAGTGATTAAATAAAAGTTGATGGTGTTTGAGAAAAAAGTGATTTTGAAAAGTAAAAGTGGGTAGTGTTTGGTAAAATAAGTGCTTTTTGTGTAATAGAAAAAGTAAAAGCACTTTTGACGCGGAAGCCGAGAAAAATAAAAGTTGTAGTGTTTGGGAAAATAAGTGCTTTTTTAAAACCAAAAGCTGAGAAGCGCTTTTTTAAAAGCAGTTGCAAACCAACCCTAAAAGTTGTCTTTATTAAAGTAGTCTTTCAAAACTTTAGTAATTAAGTTCAATATTTCATTATCCGTTACCAACAATTCTAATTATTATGTACTCCCTCCGTCCCCTTTTAAATGTCCCGTTTTATAAATGTCCCGTGTTACCATGTTGGGATGTCCCTATTTAAATGTCTCATACCTTATTTGGTAAAGTTTGTGTGGCTCAAAATCATTCTTACTTTATTCTTACTTTATCAATTAATATCAACCACACAAACTCACTTTTCTTAAAACTCGTGTCACCCACCTCCGGGACATTTAAAAGGGGACGGAGGTAGTAACAAATTCTAAATTGTACTTCGTTTTTTAAATGATGTAAAATTGATATCACCTATCGTACTCCATTTTTTAAACGATGTAAAAATGTAATACAAATGTTTTTATTTGATTAGATTGTAGGTAAAAATATATATGTACCAACTGTTTTTCCCGTGTGTATGCACGGGTGGAAGCGTATACTATACAATCGGATGTACGATGCCATCCGTACAGTCGATGACAGTTATGTAATTTTGGTGAAAACACGATTTCTCTTGAATGAGCATTAACACAATTTTGTTAAGCACCAAGCCTGTCTGTTGAGTATTAGGAGCCTAAGAATGAGAATCAGTGTTCTCTTCTTCATATTTGCTATCTTGCTTTCTTTTTATTATATTTTCCGTTTATAAAAATTCTTAAATTATGTAATGTTTCAATTAATTTCAATACATGAATCTAATGTAGTATGATACGTTTAAAATGTGCAGCATATTAAAATGAGCATAAACAGCTACTAAATGAGCGTACATAACTTACAAAATGAGTATCAAAAAATTCAAAAACTCATTTGTGTATGTTCATTCATTTTGGGCTTTATACTCATTTGAGTTTAACACAAAACTCATTTCTAATATGCTCAATATTCATTTGTGTATCTTCATTCCGTTTAAGTTTATACTCATTTGAGTTTAATATAAAATCATTCAAGATTTGTCAACAAAGAAGTATGAGCTCAGACTCTTAAACCATCTCTAAATTTGTAGTCTTCATATTCTTCTTCTCGCAACATCGGCTAACAAAGAAGATCCCCAAGAGCCACTGCCTCTTGCGCGGCAAGAGGGCGTTCGTGCTTGAGAAGAGAGCGACGATGATGAGCAGTCTGCCTGATGCGAAATCAGATTGAAGAAGCCAAGCGAGATCGAAGAAGAATGTGTGGACCATATGCGAAGCAACTCGGAGAAGTCCGGTGCAAAGGCAAGAAGCGTAAAAGCGTAAAAAGGTCGACTGTACCGTGCGCACGGTATAGCCGGCTGTAAAATATATTTAGGAGGTGTTTACTTCGCTCCTAACGTCATAGTTAAGTTAATAAGACATGTGAAGTAAACACGCAAGCTGCTTAAAAAGCTGTTTATTAACCGAAAGGGGTGCTTAAAGTGCCGCTTACTAAGCATACCACCATCATGTTTAAGCGGTATTTTAAGCTTTTTCAGTTTACGAATCTACTATTACCTCTTGCCCTTACCATGTTGTTAATTCCCTACACGTTACCCCCTCTACCCACCCGCCCATACCTACCTTACCCCGACCCCATCCCTTTACCCCTACCACATGCCCCCTGCCTCGAACCCACCCCAACCCTACCCCCTTTACCCCTACCACATGCCCCTACCTCACCCCACCCCACCCTCGTACCCCTTTACTCTACCCCGATCCTACCCCTACCACATGCCCCTACCTCAACCCACCCCTTTACACCTACCACATGCCCCTGCTCCACCCCACCCCACTCGTAACCTCTTACCTTACCCCTACCCCTTTACCCCCAACCACCTTCCCCGACCCCACCCATCATACCCCCTACCCCCATCGCCCTTCACCCCATACCACCTGCCCTTATCTCGATCCCACCCAACCCCGATCCCACTCCTATGAGTACGATAGGTGTTAGGGGGTATGAGGGTTGTAGGGGAGTAGGGGTAGAGGGTAAGCTCGTGGTAATGGTAGGGGTAGGGTCAAGGGAGTGGAATTGGGTGTGGGGTGTATGGTAGGAATGGGGGTACGTGGTATAGGGTGGGTATTGTTTTAGGGGTATGGGTACATGTACGAGGTGACCTCACATATTATGTTATATACTTTTGTTCATGAATGTTTGTGTGTCTATATATGTATAGGCTTAGTTTGGATAATTTAATGTTAAACGATGTTTTAAATCCTTTGAAGTAAAAATGAGTTTACAACACTGCTTATATCATGGACATTTAGCATACTGCCGTTTAGAGTGGACACAGTATGCTACTTTTTTCTTGAAATTAAAATAATTATCTATTTCTGCCATGTTCTTTACGGCCTGTTTGGATGAAGTGTTGAAAGGTGTTAGTAATGGAAGTGTTAGTAAGTGTTGGCAATGGCCCGGAAGGGAAAGTAAGTGTAAGTGTAAAATATAAACCTACCTTGTTTGGGAGAGTTAAAAAATAAAGTGTTAATAACGGAAGTGTTTTCAATTAAATTGACAATAATGCCCCCTTTTAAATTCTAAAAGCAATATAAATTCGAAGGAATCGAAGCCATGCCATTCTGGAAATACCTCTACTTCTCAAAAGCTTCTCTGTAGGCCTGGTACACCACATACGAAGTACTGGTATGTTTTACTTCTTTTTTGGCAAAATACTGATATATTTTAGTTGACAACATGATTTTGCAATTCGAAAAAAACATGAATCTGTAATTATTAAACCCCATGGATGACATGTGTAGAGAAAAATTAAAATCAATGAGCCAAGACATGAATCTGCAATAATACATGATGGCAGTTGGGGAAAGTGGGAAACATAAGCAAAGAAAGATGGTTCCAATCGGATGGGATGACTGATAAAGGCTACGATGGTAGGATTGTGTCGACGATTACCATTTTGACGGAAAGGTGGATGAAGAACGGCAGGAAGAAGGGCAAGTTTTGTCCAACACTCCAAAACACTCCAATTTGGAGTGTTAAAAAAGTTACTTATTGAGGTGTTGCGGAGGTTTTTCCTAACACTTTTAAACACTTACTAACACTCCAAATTTTTCTAAAAAATCTCCCAAACAAGTGTTAGAACCAACCCTCCTCAACACTTCCATTACTAATCCTTCCAACCGTTAATCCAAACAACATTTAATCCAAACATGCCATTAGGCAATTTCCCTGCGTTTTTGTCGTGGGAGTCCTAGATAACCGTTTTCATGTTTCCACATCAAGATGGAAATGACAAGGCTTGAAGTCCCAAATATGCACGCATGCGGATTTCACAAAGCTCTTCGCGGTTCTCTACACAATTTCCCCCTTTCTTGGTATTGGGTCTAGCTCTCAACACAGTGCGTTTCATTGCACAATATTCGACAAGGCATAGCATCAAGCCTACCAGAAGCATGGCTTCGCCAGGGGGCAACAGCAATGGTGGCGGAGCTGCAACAGAACAGAGAGTGAAGTATCCCTCTTCAACATCAAACCCTAAAGTCGATAGATTTCACGAGATTGTTCACGCTGATCCCACCGGTAAACTCAATACGGGTCTTCTGCTTTGATTTCTCCTGGGTTTCGACAAAGAATTCTCTAATATCATAACAACTGACTCGTCCCTTTACGATTTTTTAGCACTGAAAGTAAAATAACATGTAATGGAACTAGATGGCTGGGAGAAGTGCTGGGAAGAGAGACTAACACCGTGGGATTTGGGACAGCCTACTCCAGTTCTTGTTCATCTCCACAGGGTAGGTGCCCTTCCTAAAGGCAAAGCTTTAGTCCCTGGTTGTGGCAGTGTAAGTTTATCTCACTCACTGCACAATTTGATTCCAAAAAGAGGCCATTGAAGTCTAAATAATCACAGACTGCTTTAAGTACAAATGAGCCATTCTTGAATATGATTTTTCAGTGTATCAGCTATGTGGTGACCTTCTCGAGTAGCAAAGGGAATAGTTATACTGTATCAGCTTCAATTCCAAAAAGGCTTGGAGTCAAGCATATATGCTCCCTTTAGGATCACAAGTTAGAATTTAGTGGGGAGGGTAGTGCAACAATTATTCATTAGAGGAGAATGAGGCATGCATTAGAATGTAATACTAACAAGCCCGATACTAACAATAGGTAATCAACAAGATAACAAAACCAATGGAGTGTACAAACACCGCATGGCGTACATACACATTGTTGGAACATATTGTTTTGTTGATGACAAACGACTAGTGTTACTTTTGGTTATAAGTGACTACATGAAAAGAGTTTAAGTCGTGCTCTGGAACACGCCGTAGAACTGGTCCGAGAACTGCACCGTAAATCCAAGATTGATTAATCCGGCTTGCTTAAAATATCTTTTCTCTCCATTTAATTTCGGCTCTATCTTGCTAAATTAAAGAGAACCTTTTAAGCAAGAAAATAATCAATGATCATACAAAGAAAGGATTTTTTCTTTAAAGGAAAGTTATTTAAATCAAAGGCATTAATTAAGAGATCTTTCTACAAAGCAAGTTTCCAAAATAATTGTTGTTATTCAAAATTCAAAAAGGATTTTCGTGCATATCCTTTCACAAGGAATGTTTCCTTAAGAAAAATGATTTCCTTCAATTAAATAAAAAGAATATCTTTTAATACCTATAAGGAAATATTTTTGAATAATTTCCATGCAAGAGGACCGAAATATATATATGGAGATGTGAGCTATTAAAGATAGTACATCAAGTCCTGATCTTGCCCATCTAAGAAGACCGATCTCAAAGGAAAGAATATGTTGAGTATGTAGTTTTATTAATGACTAACTCTGCAGGTGGAACGGCGGACAGAACCGCTCTCAGTTCCATACGGAACGGAAGACAAAATTATTCTTAATTCTATTCTGTGTGAACGGTTGATTTACATGGTGTATGATTTAATTAATATGTGCTTTCCTTATATGAGTGCTTATACTTTGTCAAGAATATTATTTTAAGCAAAAATATATTTTCATGCTTGACTTATTATTATAGCTTATTATTTTATGGAAAGAATCTTTAAATGATTAACTAGTTGATTGTGCATACCTATTAAACAAATATTCTTCTGCATATTATTTGAAATATGATCCGTTGCATGCTTGCATAGTTTAAGTGAATAAATTACTTCCCTTGATATGTATTGATATATATCTTTGTGGAATTATTACTAAATGGTTGATCACATAATATGCTCTATACCTTTTTGACTTGCTCATGGTATGCACGTATCCTCTTGATCCCATATATATATATATGGTTGACTAAGGACCATCATAATTAAGAGCTAGAAGATCCTTAAATAAAAGGAAAGCATTTTGAATAATTTCAAGGCAAGTTCCTCAACCATTCAAGGAAAGAAGTGTCTCAACGGATCCATTCCTGGTAGCCTATATAATCGAGATCAAGAAGAAGAAGCAGGGTGTGCTTGACCGAGATAGACATTGAGAGATATATTCATAAAAGAATTACTGAAGCTCAAGGCACCTGAAACTGCTCACTCGGAGTTCTAGATATAGTTTCTTCTTTCCCTTCTTCGTATTGTAATGGGGTTTTGAGGATTGGCTAAGAGCAGCCTCCTCGGGATTGATTTGTGTGAGTGAGAGCTTTGTTGTAAAGCTGAGAGGCTCTCTACCCGCAAGGTAGAGAAGCGTAACTCTTCCTAGAGAGGATAGAGTTGGGGTGGCTCAAGGGTAGACTAGGAGAGTTTCCCTTGTAATCATTCAAAGGCTTTTTAGTGAAGTTGTTAAAATTCCTCCGAGGGAGGTCGAGGTTTTTTAATCCCTTTGAGCCAAGGGATTTTTCCTCGTTAAATCCTTGTGCACTTTACTATTTGGCAATTCCCTATACCCCGCACTAGAACTGGGCGAAAAACTGCCACGGTTCCACACACACACAATTCACCCCCCCCCTCTTGTGTTGCTAACCGTTTTCATCAATTGGTATCAGAGCCGGTCTTCACCACATAGAGGCTAATACCTTGGGAAGAGATCCGGCAAAATGAATATGGTTGACCGATTGGAAGAAGGGTACTCGACTCAACGACCACCATTGTTCAATGGCAAATACTATCAATTTTGGAAGAGTCGGATGGAAAACTTTATCAAGGCCGATAACTACCAGGTTTGGAATGTAATTGAAAGTGGTGATAATGTCATCACAAAGAGAAACGCCGAAGGTAATGTTGTTCCTAAACCTAAAGTTGAATATACTTCTGAAGATTATGAGAAACTCGAGCATAATGCCCAAGCCCTTAAATATTTAATTTGTGGTCTTGGTCCTGCCGAACACAATCGGGTTCTAGGATGCAAGACTGCAAAACAAATGTGGGATTTGCTCGAGGTCACTCATGAGGGAACCTCACGTGTAAAAAAATCTAAGATTGACATATTCATGCGTAATTACGAATTATTCGTAATGAAGCCAAAAGAGTCAATTAAGGATATGATTACACGCTTTACTAACATTATCAATGAGCTTTCAGCCCTTGGAAGAGAAATTACCGTGGAAGATCAAGTGAGAAAGATTTTGAGAAGCCTGCCCCAAGCGTGGAAGCCTAAGACCACGGCTATTGAAGAAGCAAAGGATCTATCCACCATAACGCTTGAAGACTTGACTGGATCACTCTTGACATATGAACTAGGTCTTCAAGAAGAACAAGATGCCGAGAGTGCTAGACGAGAAAGAGGAATAGCTCTAAAGGCTCGAGAAGAAGAAGAGGAATCCGAGAGTGAATCGGATGATGAGATGAGCATGTTTGCAAAACAATTTGGGAGGATGTACCGAAAGTTCAAGAACAACCGTATCAAACAAGGTAAAAAGAACACTCAATCTTTTAATAACCAAGGCTGTTTTGTTTGTAGTTCCTTTGAGCACAGGGCTAAAGACTGCCCACAAAAGAAAAATGACCGGAACTGCGACAAGAACAAGTCCAGTTCCAACCGGAGGTTCAGCGAAGACAAAGGGTTCAAGAGAGATCTAAAAAGGGCCATGATGGCAGCATGGGGAGACTCTTCCGATGACGAAGGAGAAGAGAGTGATAAGAACTCAAACCATGCGGGTCTATGTCTTATGGCACACTCCGACGAGGAATCCGACCAAGAGAGCTTCGAGGTAAACTTTGAAAATTTTCTATCCAAGTTTGACTCTCTATCCAAAACCAAAACTCGGAAGATTTTCAAAAGATTGACTATTGAGCTTAATGAAAGCCTTTCCGAAAACGATCATCTTAAATCACGTGTCACTGAGCTTGAGTCTAAACTCGAGGAAGCCACGAGAGCCAAAATAAGGCTTGAAACAAAAGTGGGAGAGTTAATAGATGAAAGGCTTAAGTACAGTGAAGTGGTTCTAGAACAAGATCAAATCATTTGCTCTCTTAAGCTCGATAGTATGAACAAACAAGTTGATCATGATGAAAAGCTTCTCTCAAAAATACCGAGTGTTGGTTGTTTAATTGATCATCTTCATCGTCTTGTTGCCGAGTGCACTGATTTTAAAAATAGACCGGAATATCAATCTTATAGTGCAACGAACAAAACCAGGTCTAGACATCATTCTGGAACTGGTCCTTTTCAGCACAATAAGAAAGTAAACGAGACTGCAGGTCTCGGATATATTCCAAGGGATATTCGATCTAATCAAAAATCAAATTTTCAGAACCAACCCTTTAAGGGCAATAGAACCCGAGGACAACCCAGTTCTAGACCATATCAACAACCACCTAGAACTGGACCAAACTGGTTCGATAGACTGGTTCAGAGGCACAAAAATGGTTATGGACAAACGCCAAACCGAAATTTTCATAAGAAAACAAGAGGCTTTTATGGTAAATGGAAACCTAAATACGTTGATACCTATGACAACCGAGTTTGCATGCATTGTGGCAAAATCGGGCATCTTCGGTATCAATGTCACTCTCGACAAAAGACCTTAGAAAGATGTTTTGACTATGTTCGATATCCATCCTCAAACAAATACAAAATGGAACCCAAGCAAGTCTGGGTTCCACGGACTAACTCGTGATTCAGGAACAGCGCCAAGTGAGGGGGAACAATCACTGGTTCCTTGACAGTGGTTGTTTTAAGCACATGACTGGAGACTCATCTTTATTCCTCTCACTTCGGCCATTTAGTGGTGGGAAGGTGACATTTGGAGACAACGGCAAAGGAGAAATTGAAGCCGTGGGAAAATGTAAAAAATCACCTAACCATCCAATTGACAATTTTTTAGTCAAGGGTTTAAGTTCAATTTGCTAAGTATCTTTCAATTTTGTGATGGAGGTAACAATGTTATTTTTAATAAATAATATGTGCTTATAATTGTTGATGATTTCTCTAGATGTACTTGGACTATCTTTCTTGCTAGTAAGAAAGATACTTTTAATGAGTTTTGTTATTTGTGTAAGGAAAGTTGAGCATCAAATAGGAAAGCAATTAATTAAGATCCACTCGGGTCATGGAACCAAATTTGACAATATGCTCTTTGATACATTCTGCCAAGAAAGAGGGATAGACCACAATGGGTGGTAGAAGAGAAGAATTGAACACTGGAGGATATGACTAGAACTATGTGAATCTCTAGTGGTCTAGCAAGGAATTTATGGGCAGAAGCTCTAAACACGGAGATTGCACCAATTCCATTAGCAAGGGGGAACTAATCATGAAACCAATTGCCCACGAGGAGATATGAACAGGAACTGACGATAACATGCTTAGAACTGAGGATGTACCCAGTCAATCCACTGCCAAC